AGACATGAGTTTAGAATAATAGAAAACTAGAAATAATCAAAGAGTGGATCAACAATTAGATGGATAAATAAATTGTGGTATATTCTATATTCAGAGTGGATCTGAGCAGCTCAAGGAGTGAACTGTATGAGATGTGTCTTATTGAACCTCCTCAGATTTTCTTGGCTCTGTCTGTCTTCTGGAACCTCAGTCACTTCCTGGATCTCCAAACCCCTGTTGCTGGTGAGTTGATTCTACTCATAGAGATCCTACAGGACAGAGTAGACCTGCCCATAAGGTTTCCCAAGGCCATAATCTCGACAGACACAGGCTGTAAGAAGACTACAATATCTTTCTCCCCCAGAGGGTCTGGTGGATTTGGATCACCAACTCTGAGCTAGCAAAGTTAACCACTGCACCTCCTGGGTCTTTTGCTCTGCCTCATCACTACCAGTTACTTGCAGGCTCAAATGGTTCTGCTCTGAGGCACCACTTGGAATCACTGCTTCTTCCCACACCACAGGGCATGGGCTCTCTCTTTACAAGCAGTTGCTGAGGAGGCTAGCAAACACAGCGAGGAAATCTTAGGGAGTTGATTCTAGTAAAACCAAACTTATTGCTCTCAAGTTGGTTCCAATTCACAGTGATCCCGTAATACAGAGTAGAACTTCCCCCTAAGGTTTCCAATGTTGTAAATCTTTACAGAAGCAGACTGCCTCATCTTTCTCCTACAGACTAGCTGGTGGTTTCAAATTGTCAACCTTTTGGTTTGTAGCTGAGTGCTTTAACCACTGTGTCACTGGGGCTCTTTTAACAATAGGGAAAGAGAGGCTGAGGGAGCCAAACATTCTCCCTTCTTCCCTCTGATGGACTGTTCCAGGACATTTATTTGTGCATTCTGTTAGGAGGCATCCACATGTCAGGGTAAATGCATTTGCAGGTGACCTGCTGGCTGTATTCATTGAGTAGCAGTGGTCAGTGTAGTGATGCATCACCTTCCATTTTTTCCCCAGCTTTCCTTGACTTGTTTCCTTTCCCTCACTCTCACTGCTTAAACTCTCACTGATTAAACTCCTTCAAAGAGGCAAGGAGGTTGCATCTTCTGACCTCCTCTAACCCCACAAGAGGAAGACAGAATCACCATCAATAGCCCAAGGTCTATTCCTGTGAGGCCAGACATGCTGCCTCCCTCCAGCCCTTGTATCAACCCTGACACCAACAGTTCTTCCCACAGCACCCACCACCTCTCTGCTGGGTTCGATAATTTGCTGCAGTGGCCACACAGAATTTACAGATTATGGGGTTTATTAGGGCTACAATTCAAGTTCAGGTACAACACTCAGTCTCTCTCAGCCCACCGTCTCTCAGCCAACAGTCTCTCTCAGTCTCTCTCCCAGCAGTGCTTGTCTCTTGGTGTCTCTCTCTCAGCAGCACATGTCTCTCTGGAGCATGTTTCTCTCAGCAGCACATCTTTCTCAGCCAGCAGTCAGAGAGACCTCTCTGCCTCTAGAAGGGCTCCCTTTGAGCCTGGCAGAGTGACCACTAATTAATCCCAATATCAGAATTCTATACGCCTGGTATGCATGTGAGAGTTGGACAATGAATAGGGAAGACCGAAGAAGAGTTGATGCTTTTGAGTTGTGGTGCTGG